TGAGTCAATTCCACCTTGGCTTTCATCAGAACCATTTCATTTGTCTCAGCAGTCTCGACCTAGACCCAGAAGCTCAAAGTCCAAGCTTTGGATTTACCTCCATCAGATATTTTCAGACATCTAACGCTTATAGCACTATGCATTTTTCACTGAACATGTCCCGAGAACTGTGTGAATGCACAGTAAAAGTATCGTTCTGAAATAAAGTTTGTTAACAGATAAGCACTCAGGGATAAGGGCAGGGATAGCTCAGTAGGTAGAGTGGTGGCCCCATGATCGGAAGGTCGGGGGTTCGATTCCCCTGAACAGCTACCCTGAGGTACCCCTGAGCAAGGTACCGTCCCTACACACTGCTCCCCGGGCGCCCAGTGGCTGCCCACTGCTTCACTGAGTGAATGGGTTAAATGCAGAGAGGGATTTTCCCCACGGGGACCGATAAAGTACACTTTCTTCATATCAGTCTCACTCTGGGTTCTGACAGTTGTGTGTGAGCATCTTGTCTGCTGTTCTTGTTTTTTGGAACCAGAGGTGTATTTAGACCAGAGGGTTGAATGCTAAATCATCAGTTAGAAAACTGGCTGCAAAGCTGGACTCTAACAGTGCAGTACCTATATCATTATCTGCTAATTATTGCTACCGAGCAGAAAAAAAACCACCCAAAAATGACTCCACCCAGCTCACAGGAGACACGCACGCACTTCCAAATTCAAGTGTTATAAAATAATTTCACACCCTGCACAGTTTTATGAACAATGAATTGAAATTTAAAACTTATTTTCTTTGATCATAGGTGGTGTGTATCATTAAAATCTGCCAGAGGAATTTAGTTCTTACTGTCGATTTCTTTCAGCGATGTTGAATCTGTCCACTTTGCTCACTTTTTACTAACAGAATCACACGAGATCAGAAAGGGATTAATTATACCAACAGAAAGACACAACCCCACACACACCCTCCCCATGGTGCCCTGCATTGTTCAGACTGTATGAAGAAGCTTCACCTCATAAATTATTTTACAACCAAAATGGTAGAAGGAGGGAATCCCGATACAATATAACAGCTTTGCAGTCTGAAAAGTAATTCTGCATCGTATCCAGAGAGACGTTTTGTTTTGAGTCTTAACACCTGTACAAGCAAAGCCGCATGAATAATTTAGATACACAACTCTACTGGATAGACTCCACAGTTAATACCAGCTAAAGGGAATAATGACGTTTCCAGAATTTTAATGTGCAGTTGTTCCTGACGACTAACAAGAGATGACAGGAGAAGGAAGGAAATCGTTTTTATTTTATTCCACTGTACATGCTTTTGTTGAGGTCCTTGATTAGCGGTTAGCTTTGGAAAAAACAAAAGAAAAGGAAAAAAACTGGCTTACAAAGACATTACATGATTTCAGCTCCTCTCTTCTTCCTTCTCTGCACCATTGCTTCCTCTCCTGTCTTGAAGTTCACAAAGGGCAGAGGTTATGTTTCAGGACAGGCTCGTCTGTTTCACCTAATGCCTTCTTTTCTACCATCCATCACATTTCTGAGTTCTTGAACTCTATGAATTCTTTTGTTTCCATTTGTTATGGTAACATTATCAAAGATGATTAACTTTCAAAAGAGACAAAATTTTATTTAGACTCTGGTGTTTCTATGTCCTTAAGCAGTAAGAGCTCAGGTTGGAATAAGACATAATTCTCTTGAGAGAAAGGGAAGTAATGTCTTCTCTTCTATAGGAATATGGAATATGTTTCACTGCTTTGGCTTTTGTTTCATTTTCCATGCACATGGCTGACTTTATTAGGGTTTCTGATGAGAACTGTTAAGCTGACACAGATGATCATAAAAATTATTATTAAAACACATATTGGAGCCATATTTCAGATTGTAGTTGCTCAGCCTAAAGTATAAATGTGCTAGGGATAACCAGTAGCTGTGCATACAGATGTAAAGTGTAGAAGCAAGTTATGTACCCATTCGGTGGTTAACCGTTTTGATATTTATATGTATCTGAATGTCTGAATGTTTACACATGCACTTTCAAAGCAGTAATAAGCATGTGTTGAATCTACCTAGTTGGTTTTCCTGCATTTATCTGAGTGTAGGATTTCCTGGCTTCTGAGCGGCCAGTGAAGTATCACGAGGGCTGTACACAGGAAGGTGTGCAGAGAGTAAGTTATGCATCTCCATCTTGCTGTTTCTAATAGTTCTGTGAGATTCAGAACCACACAACGAACCCTCACGTTACACTCATACAATCTATGTTGTTTTTGTTTACATTTATTTCATTTCATTTATATTTAATCGCTCATTTTGGATACAATTGTTCAGTCTTATTGTTCAGTCTGAACAATAAGCACTGCACTTTAAACTCACCTGCAGGAAAAGTGCTGCACGATAAATGTGGACTGATTAAATTACCACTGCTTTAAAAAAACAGTTACTCATTTTTAATGTCGCAATAAAGTATGTTGTAGGTGATAAGCTGCTATGGCAACGCTGCTGTTTATGGCCACAAATATGATGCAGATGTTCCAGCATCTGTTTATGCAGCATGTTATCTGGTGTAATTATGTAACAATACATTTTAGTGGATAATCTGAGCACAGCTCCAGCGTTTGTAACTTGTGCTGTCCAAGCATGTCTGAAACTGAAAGTCTTTGAATTTGAACATTGCATAACCTGAATTCAACATCGGAATGAAGATATTCAATCGAGCAACTCATAAATAAATAATGTATAAGGATACTCTTTAACTTGACAGGGGTAAATAAAGAGAAATGACGAGTCTGGGTGGCAGAAAAGATGAAGAAATGAGAGGGGGAAGTAGAGAAACAAAAGATGAGAGCAGAAGGATGAACAGAGACATTAAAGAGTGAGACAGGGAGAGGAGTGCACTATCTAATATGGCAATAATGGAAAAAAATGATACGTATATTGGCAGAGTCAGGGTTACCATGGTGTGTGGGTGTGTGTCTGTGGGTGTGTGTGCACGCGCTCAGGGTGGTGGTTCATTTGGACACCTTAATTGAGTGTTCTGCAGTTTCCCTCTGGGTTCCTGTTACCTTGACCTGAGCTCAGAGCTCCATCAGCAAATTCTGAACGAGATGATCTCCATTAATACAGACATGCAGTAAATGTGTGTGGCAGATATTTCAATTACACCCAACACCCACGCACATACAAAGAGCAGAGTAAAAGATTGTCTTACACACACACACACACACACACACACACACACACACACACACACACACACACACACACACACACACACACACACACACACA